CTCACATTAATGCCCATTTCTATATTTCACGGGATTTTAAACTAGCATCCATTATTCAATTCCGCAATGAAGGCCAGGCTACAAGTCCACAACATTAATTCAATCGTCTAATCTAAAGAAAAGAACCGAGCCAGCCATCCATTTTCTGTGCCGCGGAGCCGAGTTTACCGAGCCCGCTGGTCAGACAAACATGGAAGCCGCAGTTGAGCAGCTTGCCGGACGCTGGCCAACCGAGGATCAGATCATCGACCGGCTATAGTAGAATAGCGAGAACAGGAAGACAAGGCCGGTCTTAATCAACCAGTGTATGATCGAAAATAGTGTCATTATCAACCCCTGAAAAGAAAGTTCATGTCTTGTTTTCTACCCGAGCAAAATATCTACAGCGTTAATGGTCATAAACAAACTCGTGTATGGTTTAGCGTTTAGTAATGCCTACACAATTGCCAGCAGCAGGATGAAAAATTAGACAAACCCATCGCATTCTTCGATATAGATCCTAAGTCTCGCGCAATATGTTTTGCCTGGCCAACAGTTGTCGAAAGTCGACCGATCCGGGAAATAGAGATAAAATCTTGAAAGGCCAGATTCGCCTCAGGTTTGGATAAACACTTTCAAGACCACGACTTCCTCGTAAGACAAGTTCGTCATTCTTAAAATTCTAGCATGCAATAAATTTGTTTATTGAGAATATTTCAAGGATTGGCAACATAGCTAAGCATTCACTCTTGTCATCGTGAACCATGTTAGTTTGTAGGAAGAGGACCACCGCACTGAGCAACCCTAGGCCTCTGAGAATAAGTTGATGGATGACACGACGCACAATAGTAGTCACGCCCAAGTCGACTTCCATATAGGGACGAAAGGAGGTTTTGCGCGTCTACTTTCGCGACACTTCTCGTTAAGATATTCTTCTGGTAAACAAGTCATGTTAATAATCTGGTAATAGAAAAAGTCGTAATTCGACAACTAGAGTCGTTGAGCTGTAATTGGAGGTTACGGATTGATTAAATCGTCCGCTCAAAGAAAGTCAAACACTTTCACAAAAAACTACTCGTATTCTAAGTGTAAAATCTTTGCATGTGCGCGGCATCTGCTACAGCAACGCACAACGGCCAATAATGGCGAGTAGCTGCGGCAATGGCTGCTACTCTCCACTGCCTGAGGCATTTCCTGCAGCGTTGGTCAGAACGCTCCACCCGAGCGGCGGCTGCTGCGTGCAGCTGTTCTCTACTTCGTCCGTGTTATTAGAGCTCTTCTTCAACGCAAGTATCAGCGCAACATGCGGACGATGCACCTCTGCATACAACATCCTCACGCCACGCCAACACGCACAACTACACGTCACTTCGGTGTAGTTTCATGTACAGCTTCTACAGCAGAGCAGCACGCACCAATAGACGACACTTCTCAACGGCCATGAAACTGATAGCATTGACTGACTAATCTCACACGCTATTCAATGCAGTACGTATAGATTCCTGGTTTACCGTAAATTTAAATTTGCTTCAGGCCATTCCGGCGCTGCACACAATTGAAATATGTACGATTCAGCATCCAAGTTAATTTAAATTTTCAATCTTTAATTTCGAAGTGGACTTGACAATATCAGAATCTTTGTGACAAAGGCAGCAAAGGCGCATGTAAGTGCACAGAGCGAGCGAGGGCTGTGGAAGAAAGGGGAGGTAGGAACATTTAGGCCTACCCTTCAATGTTGCTGTAAGGATCAATGGCTACACACAGGCAGACAAGAAAAATTACTCTCCTCGCACATGAGGGCACCTCCATGTTCTACCACTCCAGTGGTCTTGAACTCGAGGCACTCGGAATGCTTAATTTCATCCTATGGAATAATAATGGATGCTTAATTGAAGCATGGAAGCACACTGTGTTGAAGACAAGATCAGCGAAAAATTGCTAGTGAGAACTGCCTTTAGATGGCTCTTCATAAATCTCGTTAAAAGCTCAGTACCAACTAATCACGCAAACTTAGACTGCAGTTAACTCGAAACTGCAGAGTCGGCAAATCAGACACGAAGATATCTTTGCTCGCGGAACGGGAATGTTTTGGAACTTCGTAATCGATTCTGCTCGGCAAAATCGTAGTTAAGTGCGGAAATTAGAGTTGCAGCTGCGTTAAACAGCAGTCGCGTCCTTCAAGTTACCAAGTCAACTGTTGGACGTTCAAGTTCATGATAACAAAAAACGTCAAAAATCTGGTTAAAAGTTATTGACCGATACTTCAACCCTAAATCTTCAAAATAAACACCAACAGCTTAAAAATGATTAAAAATCAATCTGCTAATTATCAAACCAATGTTAGGAGTTGAATTCGTAAAGCTGGAGCCTGTTTAACGAGTAATAGTTGAACAGATCTCATTCTCGAGAAAATGTTAACGGAACACTTGTGTTACTCAACACACCTGCAACAACTGTCAAGTCACGCAGGTAGCAGCTGGTTTTGTTCTGGTTCTGTAGGATTAACGTGCAATATTTCAAGAAGGCTTCCTCTTGGTATGGCATTCTTATTCTTCCATCACGAAGCAATGCACAGAATTTTGAAACAGGAGAAATTTAGTTCTCTACTATGGGGAAAAAAACGTCCCGCGAATTATTCTAGAGTTTCTTCGCCTTCGTTTAAATGTCAATTGTTTACGGATATAAAAATAAGTGTCCACCAATAAATAAAAACCAGATTCCAAACTTCACACCTACCCAGGGGGCAACTTCCCGATTTTCAAAATTGAACCAATTTTAATACCTCTGAGAAAATTGATTATTGGCGAGTATGAATCGTCAGTTCAAGCATGGAAACTTGAAACTACAAACTTTTCAGTTTCTAATACCAGGAATAAAATCTTCAAATTCATCTCTTCAGAAAAACCTCTATTCTCTATACCTTTCTTGTCAGATCATAATGGAAAGTTATCGACTTCCACAAACTATCAGGCCACACAACCACATCAAGTTAAACTGGCTACGAAAAGTTACGGTAGGCCTCGGTGAAACCTAGACAAATACTTTGAATGGAGGCAAAGCCTGAGATTGGACAAATATTCAATGTCAGGGGTACAAGAAATGTCTTTGCCTGCCAATTAATAACGCGGTCAAAAGAATAAGTATCAAAGAGCGGCCATAAAGCGGGTACTGGTCAGGGAGCTTCCCATTGGCATAATCGCCTCTGAAATAGCAGCTTATGTCGGGAGAAACACAGCCTCTCGCTCCCAGAAACTAGCTACTTTACATCGCTGCTGTTTACGGACAGTTACTCAGTTCAATCAAGCGCATCCCAAGTATCTCTGGGAAGTAAATATTTCGAGCTGGGGCATTTTTAATCCGGACACCTCTACTCCACTCTAGTCCAGATAATTTGTACAGACAAATGTAGCCGTGTTATGAAAGGCTTCGAACGTCGTCGGCTCACGATTCAAGTCCTAAAGTACTAAACCAATCATACTGGTGCGCAACATTCTTGCCTCATAGCATTAATGTTCGATAGAAGTTGCATAGGATAAACATAAATTAACATTTCAATAAAGCTAACGCCATGCTTCTACTAACGAAATCAATTACGAATGAAGATTACATCTTGTTTAGTTAGGGATTCAACCACCTGTCACAATTTTAGCAAAAGAACCTCTGCGCACAAGCTGAGGAGCGGCGCGATTCTAGCTAAAATCGTGTTCGATGGTTGAACGAAAGTAAGAAATTATGTGTCGGGCTAAGAGACATCTAGGGCCCCGGGATCAAATTTAAGATATCAATTAACAATTCCTTTTTCATTATAGCGGTTGTTGACGAGAGCTATCTTCGTATATCAAAGAGACGAGAGTGAGAGCGTCACCAAATTTTTCACTTTTTCGGCACAACAGTCTAGCTATTCATGGCCTAACTGGCACACACAGACCGAGACGGCTGATGCCGACCTTTGGCAGGTCCTGAACCACATACCACAGTACAATAGTCGCCTCCAACAGCTAGTGCCTCAGGCTAGCCTCGAGCCTGATGGACTGCCAGATTAAAACTTCTACGCAATACCAATTCATAGCAGCAACTGACTGCCAAGCGCAGCATCGACTAGCCAGTACTTACATAAATGGAATACGCGTACAGGTGTAAAGTGTAATAAAAATCCTCTAGAAAGCAGATCTTCAGTTTGGAGTTAACTGAAATTTAAATAATGCTATCGAGTGCAATTTCTGTCATTAGCGATAATTCAAAAAAATTGAAGCGAGCAAAAAATTCAGATTTGCGTTACGGCTAGGGAAAATAGTAAAAATAACTAATGATAGAACTAATCGAATAAATGCTTTCGATTAAAATCACGTACTGGTGAAACCCGAATAACTTCAAAAATAGTGAAGTTATTCGATTGGCAGCTCTAATGTTGCGAGGCTTATACATCGATCCCACGAAGGGAAGGCAGGAAGCCCTGCACGCGTACACCAATTATAATAAATAGCATTAGGAGTTCTATCAGAGAGCCATCTTCTACTCAGAAGAGTAAGTGTAAATTTAACAATTGTACCAATAGGATCCATAGACAGTTCTTTAATCTGACAAGAGTTTTATCCACACTATTAAGAAATGGGAGCGAGAAACTAGATCGTGTTGCACGAGTGACACGATAAGGAATTTCAGAACTGCATGGATATTAGAAAGTTGTTAAATTCTGTTAATTATATGGATCTTCCCAAACGCAAGGCTGTCAAAACTGATTTTCGAACGATTAGACGGCAAGGAGACAACATGGTGTTCTAGCTTGCAATGCATTAGCAGAAATTGCGCACCTTTCTTACAATGCAAGTAATGATCAACTAATTGCACTTTCAAACGTATAATGAAGCAAGCTTCTCGTTGTCACTGGTAAAGTTGCAGTTTTAAGTTGACACACTACAAAACATTCTGCTCGAGTTGAAGAATCCAAATGGTCACACTTAATGCTAATCCTTTTATCTAATCCAATCTGAAATTTTATCAAATGAAGGGTAGGTACTCACATCGTCCTTTGCAACTTCGCCGTTTGCGGTCTCCTGGCATTTTGCTGCTTTCTTCTCCCGTCGGAGGAACGAGAAGCTCCTGTTGTAACGTCAAAGATTGAATATTAAAAAAATTTAGCATCCAGATATTCAATTTCACAGTGCAATTGGTTATAAGGAGAAATAATTTTAAAAAACTACCAAGTATAATTGGATTGGACACCACCGTTGCCAAAATACGTAGTAAAATGATCAAGTTTCACATAATCTTCCCAAACTTTACACATCCTATTTAGAAACCTCAATACAATGAGAGCTAATACAAATCTAATTGTTTCAAACCTGCAATACAATATGGCAAAACATTTTTTTACATCGATGGAAAGTACATACATATATCCTATCCAGCATCAGCAAGTAAGAAAGCCATCGTGTCAAGAATCAGCGATTTAAGAAATTTGGGTTAACTTTACGTAAATCTAAGCTCATCACTATTTAATTACGACGTTGCCCACTGTAATAACTTCGACGTACACTATTTTCATCAACAGGAAAATCGAATTTTTCGATAAATTTACTTCCAAAATTATTTCATGAGAATGGAGTAGTATAATTTACCGAAATTCTAATTAGTTTCATTGGCTCATTCAGAAGTCACTAATTCAGTGAGCAGCTCACAACGAAGAAGAGATGAACCATTTTGCATGAAGAATGCGCTACCCAAGGTAAACTCTGAACAAACGCCCTTTCACAACTTTAGTATTAGTAAACACGGCCGGGCTAAAAAAACGTTATGCCAGACCTTGCGTAGCGGCACTGGGAGTGGGTTGTTACAGATTTTCAACCAAAGTATACATTGAATATTTCACTACTCTAAATTCCATATATGTAGATAGAGTACCTAAGAAACTTCAAAAGATAAACAGATTTTATGTGCAAAATGACATTTCCCTAGTATCATATGCAAGATTCCCTTCATAATACACAAAAAGAAATCTAACCTGAAAGATCTCTTCTTTTTCACTTTATCTTTCTTCTCCTTCTCTTCTTTCTCTTCTGGCTTCATTTCTTCCTTTCCGTTCTCAAGCGGTTTAGAATTCTCTTTGTCTGCCTCGGCGACGTCCTGCGGGAAAAAAATCAACTGCTTGTCAGAACACGACACCAACGTCATGTGTTATGATACTCTCTGGCTTTAGTACAGCTCGATAAATACCATCAAGACAAAACAAGTTAAGGCTATTAACTTCCAATAATGTTGAACCAAAAATACAGGGCGATCAATGTAATTTACAAATAAATTTAGCCATTTCAGCTGGTGCAACTAAATCAAAGTACTTAATCGTAGTAGGTATAAAATTATCTATACTGCAGGCAGAACACAATAAATTAAGGTCAATATGAATGTAAACGTAACCGACACTAATCAACTAGCTCAACTTATTCCGCTAGGAGCACGCAAATACAACGGTTTCAAGGGCAAAAATATATATATGGCTGCTTTATCGAACAGCGGCACCTTTTCCCCTAGACAACCACGTCTCAAAATTAATTGCAACATCTGCTCATTTAATGGAGATAAAAAAGCATGTTGGTACTTACACACTTTATATTATACATTTTATGGACGACTCGGGAGCACCCTGGATTAACCTTAAGTTTTTGGTTATTAGGTTTGGCGATGCATACGAAGAACGAGCGTCTAGCGCTAGCCTCTATGGCAGTCGCAGCAATAGTCCTAAATAGACAACTAGTTGCACGCGGGGGCTTTCCGGGGTTTTTAATTAGACAACTTTCTTTTCGATATATATATATACAAGATGTCTATTTTATTGCATCCCATCAAGTTCATCACCTAACACGGAAGTTATAGGATAATTATTAGCAACAGGTCACGCAGGTTAACCATATGGTGTTAACGGCCTACTATTAGATATGTTAAGAGCATTAACCTAATTTTGGTAATCATGACAAGGTAAAATGCACCCATTACCATCTATTTCATCAAGTTAGGATACTCTGCGATTACTTGGTGCCTGGAGGCATGTCGTGACTACAGAATTTCAAGTGGGGAAAAACTTTGGAAGCCATGGGGCTTAGATAAATAATGTGTGCTGTGATCGGGTTCCATAGAAAGTCAGGCTTTGCGAAACCTATGGATATAGCTTAGTGGCGGTTGTCCATTACGAAGATAGAAAATTAACAGCAAGGTAAGGTTAGCTAAATCTTCAAAAAAAATTAGGACAATTGGAGCTCAACTAAAACCGTTCACAAGCCAGTTTCCAATATCAAATGTTGATCTCTTCGTAGCTCTATCCTCGGACAGAGCATTTTTATAAATGAACGGGAAGAAGACCATGGATCTAGACGAGAACCCCTACACAAACCGGCTCCCTGAAGATTTGGCGGGAAACTCAAGGGTAGACTAATAGCCACAGGGCTACTACGCTGTCGACACTTCCTGCCGACGCCACACGATGACCGACCATCATTCAAAAATGGGTAAAACGCTGAAGCTCTGCATTTCTCTCATTGAAAACCTAAATAAGCTCTACAAGAAATGGTCAGCGTTTATTAATCCACCAGTAAGGCATGAATCTATACGGAGGACCGTCTTCCTCACAGTTCAAATAACGAATACGCAAATCGTGAAGAGTAAAGTCTTTGCAGTAGATGAGCCATTTCATTAAAACGATTGAATGCTATAAAAAGTAGAGGAATATGCATACTGAAAATATCAGGGATACGTCGCATCTCTCGAAACAATTCTAGCAGATCAATCATACAGTCGACCAATCTATTCTGTAGTAGGAGCTGGTCAGGGTTTGCATCAGATAACCAAGAACTATGATTAGCCTATAATCTAATAGGCAATGAATTTAAATCTTGACATTTTTCCTTCACTTCACCACTAATAATTACCACTAATAATAATAATTAATCCGCAAATGAAGTCTGCCGCCGTTCATATCCTAGTTTGATAAGAGTGTTGCCAAATTACATCCCAGCGTCAGGTGCAAAGCTGCATAGGTACCGCTCATTGTACTTGTCGAGAATAACTCTACACCACGCACGCAGTTCAATTCACGGACGAACGACGGTCCGTCAATTTTTTGTTAGTAAATACAAAATTTTTACATATAATCCTAGCAATTTTGCATCATTGAATGCAAAATATTTAGCCATCCTGACAAGGTTAAACTGACGAAAAGTCCTTCGGATCCATACGTGTCAATGTAGAACAAAAGCAAGCTCGCAGACATACAGTCTGCCATTCATAGCACATTAATGCACAAGCTAGATTAGATTCAAGATAATTCCCAGAGCACAGTTTCTGGAGACGAAATCTTTAATTTTTGCATCTGTTTGAATTACTATCGATATTCATGACAATGTGGCATGCTTATCTACTTGCTTCTGACAATTTACTGAAGTCGAGATATTCCTAGTAAAGTCTAGGCAAGGCGTGTTTAAAAATGCCGCTTCCCAGCCCAATACGTAGGAAGTCAAGGTTCTGTTAATTTCTTTCTCTACTACCGGAGAGCCAGACGGATGTGGTTGCGGAAGTAGGGAGACCGCCACCGTAATTATGGGAAGCTCATGAACCCGCTTCGTCCACCTAACTTGCTAGCAGCCAAATGCACAACAGCATAAATGTTTTTTTCAAAATCTGTTATTACCTCAGCGTCATTGCTGAAATGTGTATCAGTGGAAAATTCATTTTCCTTCAAAAAAATGAAAGGTTTCGCTCAAATGAACATGTTAAATGAATATGAATTTTCCCGCAAGATATCGTTATAATCCTAGCGTGTTCAATTTCAATGCGAGCAGTTTCACTTTACAGTAGGTGGCAGGCATAGTATCGTGACTGCCCATGGCATCGTTATGAATGCGAAGTGACTTAACAATGGGATGCGATGCTTGGGACGCACTCAGGATTCAACAACTTTTGTTTAACTGCTCTATTCATTGAGCATCAAGAAGCTCCATAGAACTCTCACCCGCAGGAATATGTCAAAAATTTGTGTAGAACGAGATAAGCCATTGAGTAAATTCTACAAATTCAACAGATTGAAAATACATCGATAGCTGCTAATAAAAATCGTACTCACTTCACCGACAGGAGACTCGTCCTCTTTCTTGGGGGTTTCACCGTTGGCATGGCCTTCTACTTTCGTCGAGGCTTCTACCTTGGCAGCAACTTCCTCGATGAGTTCTGTCTGAGGTTGACTTTGTCCGTCCTCAGCGAGATCTTTCACCTTGACGTCCGTAGGCTCAGTGCCGTTCTTCTTGGGAGAGCCTGATGAGGCAGCGATGTCTACGCTCTTCTTTGAGTTTCGTAATCCCATAGTTATAAAAAATATTAGCTATAGCTTTGTATAAAATTTCAAACTGGCGATGGCCCTGGAAGAAAAAGAAATGGTTCCATTGAAGGTGTTTCACAAGAAATGCATCATAAGTAACTACACATTGAGTAAAATTAAGGCATTTTCTAAATTCATCAATGCATCAAATATTTACTGTATTTCCGAGTTTTCGCTCGCGTGGACTAGATGCAACAAGTTCTGAAATCCAAGTATTACTTAAAAGAGAAGTTCGGGCTGATTTCCCATCAACACTAACAATTGTTCGTCTTTTAGAGTGCGATTCCAATGATCGAAACTTAATAGTTCAAAAATTATATTTCTTCCGTCAATAATTGATGAATGGTGACTGCGTAATGACGCGCAATACCATAAGAAACCCGTACAAACCAAATGATATGATTCATCAGTAGTGTTGAATTTTTCAGCAAGTCTCATTCGAATTAGTTTTAACGTTTGGTTCCATTGCTACAAGTCACAAAACTTCAGTAGGAATCCTAAGGTTTATTCAGAGTTACGCTTACGCCACAACGGGCAACGGATAATAAGCCAACCTAGAAATTTAGCCAATCGGTCTCTTGTCTAGAGAATTCAAGAGCGCCAAAACGGGTGACAGAGGCCTGCAGGAATTGTGGTCGGAAATGCCTGAATAGATGAGGCGATGTGATCAGTGGGAGTCCTGAAGATACCCCACAGGTCCAGACAGGCGCCCCCACCAAATACGGCACTTCGCGGTGCTCTACAACACGACTAGCAGACCATACACGACAAGTCCTAGCGGCACCTCCCTTTGGATTACCTTACCCAGCAGCCTTGTCATCAGCAACGCCGAAGACGGGTCTTCGATAACAATCACACGTTTGGGAAACCTAAAGGCTAAAGCCGAGATAAAACGGGCAAATTTTCCGGTACGTGCAGATAATCTGCGCAGTTTCCAATATATGCCACAGCAAAATCACGAATTGTGGGGATTGGGGAATTTGGAGAAAATGCAAACCCAAAGTATTAAAGTAGACATAACGATATTATTACGAACTACCGTGACAAAGATGTCTTTTATAGCGAGATTGGTTACCACAGAGACAACAGGCTAAGGATGACTGGTAACGGAACGCTTCCTATCTCGTCTCAAATAGTTTAAATCCTCCATGCAATGAGCCACTACTTTTTTAAAATTGGCCCAATTGTCTGACGTATGCGAGGCACTCAATTCTACAATAAATCAAGACCTGGCTTTTCGAAGTCGTGTCGCGAAACGGTGCTCCATCAAGGTATTTTGATGTTAGAGACATGGTGGCAGGGAATTATGTTGAGTACTTATCGGTTTGCAAAAACGGCGGCCGGTCCGGCTGAGCGGGGGGGGGNAGAGACAAGGACCACATCGCCGCCCGGGGCGACGCGTGCCGCATGTCCTCTGCAATTCATTTTAACCATTAGTTTTTTAGAATTCATATAGAATTACTTACTTTTTACTTCCGTACTTATGATTCCTTACCTTAAAACATGGATTTTATTAGGAAAATAACATTTTTTCAGTATGTTACATTCATACATTGTTGCTATATTTATGTCTCATATGTTCCATATAAACAAATAATAGCACTCAGCAAGTTCGATAAAAACTTAGATGAACTGCCTATGTTACAGGAACACAGACTTGACGGACGGACATTATATCCGCAATGTATACTGTTAAGCAACATTATACCTATGCTAGAAGCACTTACATTTGGTCTCTTCAACAGGGGGTACGAACGAAGGCCGGGACCTGGACATGATACTTGATGTTCATCAATCATCAGGGAGGACGTCCTGTCTGACCTGCCACGCGCCGGAGATTAGATTTGCAGGCCGGTATTCATGAGGAGTGGATGTCCATAGCAGAGACAGTTCACGTACATTATATCTGTAATATACTAATAAAACATATTATTGAATTGCCTACTTACCTTTTGCGGTTCGGCCACTTCCATGCTGCCCCAGGAGGGGTGGCCAACGGAGCCCTGCCTTGAGGTTTGGTTGGCAGAGCTCAAGCCTGGTCTCCTAGCTCGTTATAAACGAGGGAGCTTCAAAATTTTGTAAGAGATTGCTTCAAATAATATGAGAATGTTACATTTAATAACGCCCTAGGAATCTTCATCAGCGAGTCCTAGGGCAGTTCAAGAACAGCTGTGTAAAAAAAATTCCACGATTGCAAATTGCACTTAAACAGCAAAGTTTTCAACTTTTATGTACTTGAGTACTTTATAAGTTTATATTTAATTTATATGCAATATGGATTCAAATAATTCATTATTGTATTCATATTAATCATATAATTTTTAGAAATTTTATCTCTATTCATTCACTCAGTCAGTGAGTGAGGTGACTGACCTGAGGTCACCACAAATTACAAGTCAAAGTCAGCGCGCCGTGCTTAATTCTTTGCGAATTGCGAGTTTAATTTAATTATTTCAAAAGATATACAGAAAATTATCTAGACATACTAAAGTTACCGCTCAACTAATTAATATACTAAATCAATATACGTAACATACGCATAATGCATTACGCACTAAGTATAAGTTTGTCAAGTTACAAACGCATTTTCTAAAGCCATGGCCGGCTGGCCGCCATGAACCAATTATCGTCGGTCACGTAGGCTCGTAACGAGTGTAGGACAACAGACAACGTAACTTCGTAAGTGCGGCACTGCAGCGGCAGCGTTTAATTTTAGATGATGAAAATTTATTAGATTTAACTTAAAGTTGTATAATTACATTCAGAGATAGAAAAAAAATTGTGTCATTGTGTGGACTGTCGATGAAAGAAAATGAAGGAGATCATGAGATGGAAGAAAGTCGTCATCGGCCGCCATCTTTAAATGGTAATTCTTGATTTAAAAGGCAATATCACATGGTAATAGAAAAAAATATTCCTTGCATCGCAATTCGCAAGTAATCATGGTAAGTCTTGCACGATGCACTGGAAAAACTATTCATAAATAATCTTACAGTTCTTACTTACTTGTTACTTCCAAAATTGACGGTTCCGTTAATTCGTTCCAAACTACAAAAGTTCAGTCGAAAATCGCAATTGCGGTCTTTTCATAAGAATCGGAAAGGCACAAGTGCACACGGCAAATGTTAGCTCGACTCTAATGTAACAGAGCCCTGGGAGCTTCTCTCCGGTTGGCTCGAGTTCGTTTCCTGTAAATGTCAAACGGCTTAGGTTTAAAATTAATACCACTTTTAGTAATAACTTATAAAATTGACGTCATTTAAAGGTTATAGAACTGAAATTTTGTTCTCCTATTAGATAAAATATTATATAAAAAAATGTACATTAGAAAACTTTTAGAATAGAATAATTTTTTTAACTGTTTGTCGCATATGGTACCTGAACGATCTGACTGCTGGGCGCTGGCTTCAGCTGTTGGTTGCCAACTTGCCATTACTGCTAAATGCTACTTCTTATAATGAAGAGGCATAAAAATTCCATATCACAAAGAAAAACATGCAAAATCGTAATATAGTTAAAATCAGTAGACAATTGTATAGATTTTAACCTGCCGTGACGTCACAAGAAACGTAATGGCGGCCGGTAGCTACATCAACTGTGACATAAAAAAATGCAATATTTCGTAGCACTACAAACAAATAAATGTAAATAATTAGTAATGGAAAATATGTTGCTGTAACATTTTGAGAGACTGTGCCTAAGCAGAATAATATATTGTTATCATAGTAAATATACTAAAGAATAAAGTAGTTCCTTTGACACCACGCCCCACGGCCAGTGTAGCTGTCAGCTGACTTTCTTCAGAAGTGCAAAAGCTTTTGCCGGTGAAGGTCACAGAAGGTGTGTTTTACGATCGGTCCGTAAAAAAGCGTTGATCGGTTCAAAATGACATAAGAACAGGTTCTTTTGAATAACCTATGGATTGCCACCATGGTTAGAGACAAAGCGTATCTCGATAAGCCGATAAGCAGAGTAGAACAAGGACCCTAACGTTTTCAAGGGTGTAATTGTTACGACCATGCATTCGCCGAAATGAGGAAATGCATCGAAAGGGAAGAGCGCGCTCCAGACTGGTCATTGACTAACTAACGGCGACGGGCATGCACATTGCACAAAGTTCCTGGCAGTCATAGTTACGAAAGTAGTTTCTGACTTTCGCTAGTCGGCGCTCCAACGTAAATGAATTCAAACCAATGACCGTCCTTCGCAGCAGCACAACTCAAATTTTTAATTACCAAGCCATGTTACCGGCGGCGGCGTGTCACCGCTTCGGCGTTCCAAGCCTAGTAGTAGTAGTATATATAGGCTTTCTAAATACAGTACTAGTAGTTATATACAGGCAACTTCGAAATTAGCGGAAGCACGCCAGACACCAAGTGCTAGACACCAAGTGACTAGCCGATTGGCATTCGTTGAAACTCTTATTTCAACAATAGAAGCGTTGTTGCCAGTTTTGGCACTTTGGCAGGAATATCATTCCAAGAATAGTGGGCTTCAAGCCTTCAACTCTACGTATATATATCTACGATCAGCAAGCATTTCGCGGAGAATAAATTTGCCACGTCCATCAATGACAAAATTAGCGAAGACACTTAAGATAAAGACAGCAGTCGGAGCAGTGTACCTACTTCTAGAACATTTATTTCCGTACTATCCACTAGTTATAAAATATAACCCAATCGTAGGCTATGCGGAGTTGTGGACTTTTAGCCTTTCAGTTTCAGGCGCCTTCACATAGGTAGATAGCACTCCATGTATGATGTAGGGCTAGGTTTAATTACCGTTCAAAACTCTACCGGATTTCTAAGGTCTCAGCGTCGGTGCGTGAACGGACAAAAAACTTACAGAGCAATCTCCTCACAGCAATCTCTTCATCATCCTAGTATGTTTACTTTAATTGGAATAAATCTATAAATTGTATAAAATGTTTTCAAGTTTGCCTGGGTGTCGGGAACGGGAACATCACACAACGGCCATCGGCCAACGCAATCAAGTTAAAGCACAACTTCAAAGGCTAAAACTAAGATGTAAGGAGATCAATGTGTGATTAGAATCAATTTTGTCAAAACACGAGTTTTACAATGGGTGCAGGCGCAGTAATGAGTGCTAACCTGAAGACACTTCAGATACTAATTTCCACATGGAGTCGTTCCGAGCCTAGGCGTCTCGAGGGACATAGCGCAGAAATTCAAAATGAAGTCAGCGGCTCAGCCGACCCCACGCGCGCGCGTCTCTACTACCTTGCACGTTTATAATTCACAAATACTTACCACTACGGTTGCCGCCTGCTGTACCTATTCACCATATGCCCAAGTCTACTTTATATCACAAAGTTTGTGTCCGCTCATACTCTAGCACAAAATTAAATTCAAAGAAACAAGAGTTCCACCACGTAACTCTTCACACTCTCATGTCTCGCATACAACTGACTACAAGCGATGAGTCACCCTGCGTCGGATCGCCTAAGAGCGGAAGCCTAACGACCACAAGCTGATGGTAGGCGACTTTCACGGGACATGACGCCTAGGACATAGACATCTTTTCGTGGTAAAGCTTAAAGAATATATTCCTTTAGAGAACTTGAATGGATCTTCAAGCGCATCGTTTCACTAAGCACTCTTAATATGCCTGCAATAATGTCACGCACGTCCATAAACTTCGGTATATCGTACAAAGCACACGAACACGACCGTCAGGAACGTCTACATGACTGCACGCATAACTCCTCAATTATCCTCACAACTCAAGAGCTCTCTTCGCTGTAGTAAAATACTCCTCAACGTTGTGCGTGCGTGAGTAAAATGTAGAGTAGTTAAATGAAATGTCTAGCGAATGAATACATGCTAGAGCCTAGAAGTCAGGACCGATCTCATGGAGAGTTCTTTAATATCTAATCTAATACTGTATCAAATGAGATTACTGTACTATACAGAATTACAACGAAATAGCTTGAACCATATGATTTTAGTACGACGTTCTTCATTAAAAGTGTGCGCGAGCTCACGAGAATTTCAGCAATAGGAGCAAAAAGATTGAAAGCTTGAATTTATGTCAACTGAGCCCAGCAGTTCTTCTTGACGATTCTAATCCCCCAAAAAATACAAATCAGGTATGAAATACCATGTGTCAAAATTACTGTTTAAGAATTCCACGTAAACAAGCATTTCCTTACTGGCTAGTGAACCCGAATGCTCTGGAACACGTCGGACACAATCTTATCGTCCATTACATCGTTCACAGTCTCTCATTCTTTAAGAGGTAATCAATTTTGCATTGATTATAACTTCGAAATTAAAGCATTCAAAATTATGAAAAACAAAGTAACAACCACAAAATATATAGATTATTTAGCATGTGGGCACGCTACTATTTACTATATTGAGCTAAATAATCTAAATCTAATTGAGATAAATAATCTCGGTGGCTGATGAACATGTGCACTGATTTGATTTTTAGACTTCTTGAGGAGCAGTGTGTTGTTGCGGAAGCTGAATAAAGTAGATACAAAATTTCTCCAGAAATTCCAATGGATGTTTGGAAATGATGATGCATCGCTTCCTTCATTCTAGGCTGCGAGTCAGTTCTTTGCTCCAGAAAAGACCTCGAACTTCATGGTCAATAATATTTTTCCGGAATTCATTTGATATGTCACACCGGAATGGAACCCCTAGTAAAATTAATCAGCATTATTATACATTTCTACTTACGTGGAAGTATGAACGAACTGATGTGTGGTGATGAACAACTAAGTAAGAATCAAGTCATAAACTGGTAATTTCTGAGCCGAATTATTGACATGGGCCGCTTGTACAACGTTCGAATGCTCGGTCACTTATGGAACTGAGATGAGCTTCGAAATCTCGCTCCCTTCATGGAAATTTACAAGGCAGCCAGGACGTTGGCCCTGTGATAAACTATCTGAATAAGAAATAATATTTGTTTACAGCATCATTCTCCGCTGTCGTTTTGATGGGAAGCGATCAGTAGATTGTTTGCTCGTGTAATAGAAAATTAAATTTGCGATAGTTACGGTACTCCATTTTGTCACTATCTAAGTAAAAATGACCGCTTTTATCACGTAGTAGGGAAAAGCCTCCCCCACCCAGATACGAATATTGGTTGGCTTATCAATAGTTTTATGACGATTTTAAAATGTGAGTTCTATTTTTGCGGTTAGTATTTGTTCGGAAAAATTTTTTTCTTGGCAATCTTTCCCATTTACAATTTACCTTCGAAAGCTTAGCTACTATGATCTACATTATACATAATGGAAGAAGATGTGTATTTGATTGCCGTCCTATCCATTAATAGAACTTGAATTCTCTTGCTTACTTCAAAATTTCATTTAGATTACATTTCAAAGCAGCTGTATTCCACGGGTTTGAGTAGTTTATAATAATAAATTACGTCACCGAAAATTGAACTAAACAATTAATATTCTAAACTGTATCGCATGTCATGTAATACAAGTCATGTCTACATGATTGAGATATATCACAATTACCTCTTACTATTCACTTGACGTTATAGATAGATGCGATGAGAAGTTCCTAATGTGGTTGGTTGTACATAACAACCATGAGTTCAGAAGACATTGCGATTACACATGTTGGGGAAATTGAATAGCATTTCCTTTATCCACAATAACTAAGTACATCAGTGATAAGCGAATCTTGGGCAGGCAGATAGTAAGGAGTTATCTCGCCGAGACGTATCTGCTTCTTTACGACTATAGACTTTATTGTCGACGTCATACGCAGACACAAGAGAAGTAATGACACCTACATAAGAAACAATTCATAAAGATGATTTTATGACAGCTTTTTTCTTGGATTTATAAAGTGAATTTATCAATAACATCTCAAACTTTCTTGGTTCTCAGCAACCATTACGAAAAAATCCCGGGTCATGAAGAGAATTATTGTCTCGTAGATATCGCTTTTACAATTGAACCTACTTGAAACAGCAGCTGAAAATTCTCATAAATGAGTAATCGATAACTCCCCTCATACAAAATAACATTAATTATTGTGAGTTCATACGACTTTAATGTTTATCAATCATAAGGGGCTAACATAAATTGGATTTTTCGCAATTCAACATATAGGTGACCACACTACTATATCTAGTCGTTTTAAATATAAAGTGCATTGGAGCAGGTTCATGTACTTGTGGCAAATATGCGTTTCAACTCGTTAACCGTATATAGAGTCGTTTCAGGACATTTCAATTCTATAAACGATACATTCAATCATTCTTTTTAATTTTCAACGCCCATTCTCAATTAGAGATTAATAGAAATTACTAATATCAAACTATGGTGTATTGTAACCGCTTAGTCTTAAAATTTTCATCCACTTCATCATTCTAATCACATAATCAGTACAAATTTATTACTTTACTTTTAGAAAATGTGCGCCAATGCACAACAGCGGCTATAGAAGATGCGCAGTTAGTATCCTTAACTCGATCGGTCTCTATATGAGTACTGTAGTGTTCAGAGAACTTGAACCAATCTATGATCCATTTAATGCAATTATTTTGGTCCAACGTTTGTTTGTTTCAATTTTACGATGTCCTGTTTTCAGTTGTGCAATGTACTCATGTTCATGTGTATAAAAAGCTACAACTACAGGGAGAGAGCAGCGGCCGGGATTGTGTACAAGATAAGCTCAGTTGTTTACGTTTTCCTCCACATCTGAAGCTGCGGCCACAGCTGGTGGTTCTGTCATATAACATAAAACGATTTTAACCTTAAAAATATAACGGTGTTGGTTTTACGAGGCCGTATTCTTCCCATCGGTTTATCCAGCACGCCACATTATGTTGTTCGTGCCGACATGCTGCAGAATCAACGCCTGGCTTTCTATCAGAAGATACTCGATGTGATCTTTCAATCAGAATTTCAGCTTAAAAAGTAACGATAGTTTCATTGGTAGTGATCCAGCCGCTGTGAGAAATGAATGCTGGTATGAATTTGGTAACGCAAAGTCTCAAATATCAAGACACAATGAACACGGACGCACAATTAGTTCTAATTTACACTGGCAATATGGTGCGACTAATATGTAAATGGAAGGAATTCCCAAAGTCATAATTCAATTTTCGCTTTCATCAAATATTTTATTTCGTTAAGAACGTTTCAAACTATCGAACTATTCATCATTAAAACGATACAGTTTTTTCGTCAATTCAACAACAATCGTTATCGTACTTTTCGACGATGGAGACATTCTACTCGAACTTGCCCTGTACCACAAACGTGATTTGTGCTGCAGTCTCTCAGCAGCTACTGAGCTACATCAGTTTTGTGTAGATCTGATCGCGTTGCATTGCTCAGATCTTCAAGAGACAAGTCAAGAGCATTATAATAATCGGCGGCAAGTCAACAAAACCTAATCTTCAGCACCAAATACTACCATTTTTTGTTACTATGTAACTTTTACGCACGGACGACATCGCAACGGAACGTGAAGCGAACGCACAATGCTCCTCGCAACACATCTCCCCTCTAGCTGCGCACCCTTCCAGCCTGATTGACAGCTCACAAGGGCGCCGTTGCAACAATTCCTCAGATTACGAGGGCACCCCTTTTACCTCGGTAAAGTTACGGGATCTTGCAGTTGTTTAGAATGATGAGATAATGGTATTAGTCTCGCTTGCAATTGCGTTTCGTGTTCCGAATCTTTATTTAAAAGCTCTCGCCCGGAATTAAACTTTTCTACTTTATTATAACAATTTTTTTCGAACATGTACCTTTATGATTTATTGCTTTTTTGCGAACCCTAGCATAGATTAATAATAATTAGTTATCAGCATTATAAATGAGTACATATTCTATTTCTCTCAAGCTATGTAATATATTTATAATGTTCGCGTTCATTTCCTATCCATCATTATCTCTTGCGAATTATTCCAGCTGACGAGGAAGCGAACTCACCAGATAGCACAGAATCGCCGTACAGCTTCGTTCATCTCAGTTGACGTTCAGTATAGACTCGTTTTATTCATGTGCCTTCGAGCGTGTAACCTCCTTCTCTCGCAGGGTGCATTTCAAATGGCTTCATTCCAGAGTAATGGAACATATATGAAGGCAATTTATTCAAGTTAGTAATAAATGCTCGATATAATGAATGCCCAACAGAGGTTTCTATCGCTTCGTGGCGCACGAGTGCAAAATATTGAAATAGTTAAATATTATCATCTTCAATGGTCTAGCAAACAATTATTCAAATGTTTTCACATCATATGAACGCTTCACTGCAGCTGCCATGTTCTTCTATTATGAGTAAAGTTATACACTAATTCTATATAAGTTTAGCGATTCTAGATAACAAGCAAATATGTGATGCGGAATGCGATTATTTTAGAATGTGTCAATTCAAATCGATTAATTTCGGATAACAATTCACTTAATACTTCACATTAATCTACATACA